TATACTTGCCAGTATCCCATTTAACCTGATCATCCATTCAGGTGTTTGTGCTGCACTGACCTGAAGCAGTTCAGTTGCAGAAATGGTCTTGGTTTGGCATGGCCAGATTTTGTGTTTTCCATGGATGTGTGTAAGATGTTTACAGCACAGCAGGGGAGAATTCTGGGTGATAAAAGCCCAGTTTTGTATATTCTTGAGTTCCTAGGCTCTTGGGTGTATTAGCAGTTTTGTTGATGCCAGTGATTAATGTGAAGCTTGTGCAGGCATTTGTAGAAATAGGGCCTCAAACAGCACATGGAACACAGCAGTTTCTTAGAGTTGTGTGAGGCAAAAAATCTCATTTTTTTATTTTCTACTGTAGTATTTAAGAAAAGATCATACAGCCTTGACTTGAGATGTACTGTCCTGCTGCAATGGAATAGAGACCAATGGACATCTCAGAAAAAATTAAAAGTCAGTAGTTCTGAGTGTGTGACAGAACGATGTGGATTCTCCAGAGTTTCATTTCTTCTTCATGGGAATACAAAACCAAAGTGATTCTTGAATTATCTCTCTGCTCTGGTTTTACTTTAAAAGAGGTTATGCATAGGTAGAAATAAATGCATAGGCAATCGAGTCTTAAAACTACAACTATGAGGAAACTGCTTTAAAAAAAAACCAAAACAAAAAACCCCAAACCACCTCAAAACCGCCTTTTTGTAGAGCTTACTGACATCATGACCTTCCCTGTGAGCCTGCCCTGTGTGGAGCTGACCACTGACTTTGCCAACTGCTGTGTTGGCTCCTTGTGCTTTGGTCTGCTGAGGACTCCCTGGAACCATCCCTGGCATCGCCCAGGGCAGGCCTGGGCAGCAAAGGTGAATTTCTGACCCCACTCGAGCAGCATTTGTGCCTGAGGAAGGGAGAAGCTTTGCTCTTCTGTGTTGTAGGGTGCCAGGTTTTGTTTGGGAGGTTACATGCTCTGTGAACAGAGAGTTGAACAGTTAATAAATGTGGCTGACAGATCCACTCCTCCAGTGCTGTGTGGCTTTCACTGTGGACCAACACTCCTGGTGTTGCATTTCTGGAGAGGGGCAAAGAGAAACCTTTTGGGTTTGGACTGAATTGTTGTTTTATTAGTGATTGTTGAATATAATGTGGTGGAGCACTTAGTTGTGAAGGTCCCACTGAATTATTTCTTGGGTAAGCTGAGTTATTTCCAGAGAGTGTGGATTTTCTCTCCTTTCTGTTTGCACCTGCCTCCTCTGGATTTCTGTCTTAGATAGCCTCAGTCTCCATGGATTGAAACACCAGCAGAGGCTTGCCCCCCTTAATTTTGGGTTAATTTCCAGGCATTTGTTTCCCTCCAGCCGCCTGCTGCTCTCTTGGGTACTTGAATCTATTCAGAGTGAGGAGCTCATTGATTTAGGGCCTGATGGGGGGTATCATGAGTGTTGTGAATCAACAGCCTGGAGCTGTTTTTAGGAGCTGCTGAGGGTTTTAACTTTGATTCTCTTTCTGCTTTGTAGGTATTTGTATAAAGTGTGGAAAAGGTGTGTATGGAGCGAGCCAGGCTTGCCAGGCCATGGGTAACCTCTATCATACCAACTGCTTCACGTGCTGCTCTTGTGGTAAGTCAGATCTACCGTGGCCTTATTATGTGGCTTCCTTTTGTAATACATATTCCTCTAGCAACCAGTGCACAGGGTGAGACCTCATCCTGCCTGCTTCCTCAGGCAAAATTCCCACGCAAGACTCCAGCTTCAAAAGTTGTTGTTTTTTTTTTTTATTTGCCATCTGTAAGCGTTCAATGGTGTTTTCCTAAGCAGCAGCCCAGAAAAGTAGTGTTTGGTTGTTTTAAGGGCTGCATTTACAAAGGAGCTTCAACCTGGCTGTTATAAGCACTATATGCTTTAAATCACTTGTGTTTATGGAACTGTAAAGTACATGTATCATTTTTGTGGAAAAAAGGGACAGATTTGTACAGCCAAACCCATATTTTTGTCACTTTCTATTTGCAAATGCAGCTCTAGTCAAGCATGTGTATTTGTCATTTCTTTGTATACCCAATGCTCAGAAATTGTTCTCTTATGTTCAAATGTGACAAGAACAAATAGAAACTGCATGTTGAAATATCTTATGCTATTACAAAATTTTATTTTTGTAGGGGAAGACCAGGTGGTAAATCACTGTCTCCTCCATGCTGTTCTCAGGACCTTTTTAGGTTTCCTTTTTAATCTGAAAGTGATGTTTCTGTGTGTGATTTGGGGAAGCCGTGGCTTTGCCAGGGGAAACAGGACATGGAAAATTCAGGGCAGCACTTTCAGAATTGTTTGCCTTAAGTCAAGCACTGTGAGCTTAAGTTGGAGACTTCCTCAGTGTCTTGTCTGTAACTGCTGAGAGCTCACGAATTCCCACTCAGTTCAAGGGAAGTATGAGAGCTCAATTTTCAGGAGTCAGGTAATTTTTTATGCTTTATGCACACATTTACTTAGGTTCCTGATAGATGAAAATATTTATCTGGATGTTGAAGGTCTTGTTGTGATACATATACACAGCAAAAGATTCCCTCTGAGCAGAATATGCCAAGTGGAAATTGTTTATAAAAAGGATTAATTAAGGATTAGGAAAAGAGTCAAAGATTATTGGCATAGAAGCAAATAAGTTGATAATCAAAAGACCATTGTAAAGTTCACTTGTGAAAGGAGAAGTGTTGTCTTTTCTCCTGAGGTAGAGATAAATATTTGTTTAAATAAACCTGCAACCTGACTGTAGAGTTTAGTGACCTTTAGAAATGACTGTGGACCATTACCAGATGCTGGGATGAACTCATCCCAAACCTTCAGGGATCGCTCTTGACTTTGCTCAAGTCTGACAGTGAATGAGTAGCTATTTTGTTGGCTCCCAAAGTGAGCAGCATCCTGCTTAGCCGAGGATTACAAAACATGATAGTGGATAATATCTATCCACTCACTGCCAACATTAACCGAACCTAATTGCATGGGTGAATTCCAGCTTCCTCTCTGGGGCAGAAATGTTGTTTTGAAGTAGTCAGGATGCAAGTTTGCTACCACAGGGATCTGTATGCAGGTCACTCTGTTCCTTAGTAAAATGTGCAAGGGCCAAGAAATGTATTTTAACAGCAAAATACAAACACAACTTGATTATTTAACAGCACAACAAGCTCTTCTGACTGTTGTGGTGGGGTGTGTGTGGCCAGTGCACATCTCCCATAGGGCGACTCGAGACATGTCTGTGTGGAGCTTCGCTGTGCCCCACCCCAGAGTGCCCTGGAATTTTGTGATTCATGCTGAGTCACCAAAGGCACGAGGAAACAGTGCTCCAGGTTGTCTTCTGAGCCTCTCTGTGCTGCCCACGGGCTGGATGGTCAATGCCAGGGAGAGGGGAGTGTGTGGGGACTGCCCTACACGGGGCACTGCAGAGGTGGACGTGCTGCTGACAGGGCAGCAGTGCCTGAGTGCAGGTGAAACACTTCATCAAAGCTTGGGTTCATCTACAGCAAGTGTGAGTCAAAAGCAGAGCTTTTCCTCTCAGCTCAGCTCTGAAAGGGTATCAAAATGAGCATAGCTGGAAAAAGGGTGTTGCATTTACTCCTCTGTTTCTCACTATATTTGGGGCTGTGCAGCCCATGGAGTGATTCAGGACAGTGCCAGTAGATCTAGACTTGGCATGCAGGTTCTGTCTGTGGGAACTGCACCCTTGAGTGCAGCTACCAAATGGAACTTCTTACAGTACTGCTGTTTGTGAACAGGGAGTTAATTCTGTGGCATTGGTGGGACCCAGGTGAGAAACCTGCGCTGCGGTTTTGGTGCCCACCTTTAAAGGGACGAAGGTAACTGGAGAGGGAAGGTCCAGAAGCACCTACATAGATGATTAAAGGCTGGAGAAGGGCTAATCATGAGAGCCCAGTGTATTTTGGGTATCAGAAATTATGGGAGGGAGATGTGGCTGGAGCTTGTAAATACTTTACCCATAGAACAGCATTAGAAAGTGGTCTCATATGTACTAGAGACAAACACAAGAGAGATTGTTTCTGGAGGCTGAAATTACACAATTCAAATAGGAAATCAGAGACAGTTTTTCTACAATGAGGATGATTAACTGCTGGAAGGAAACAGCAAGAGAAGTGGCAGATTCTCTGCTCTTCTTTGTTTTCAAATTAAGACCAAATGTCCCTTTGCAGAATGTTTTAAGTTGAGCCGAGCTTTAGGTAATTGGGTGATCATTAATGATCTTTGTTAGGCAAGGGGTCACAACACACACTAGTGCTCCTTCTGAGGCTTTGGCAGGAGAGTGGAGCAGGACGATGGTTCTCTCTGCCTAAAACAGTTCCTGTGCTTGCTTGTGTGGGCTTGACCCTGGCTGGGTGTCAGGTGCCCACCCAAGCTGCTCTGTCACTGCCTCCTCAGCTGGATGGGGAGACAAAATACAATGAAACATTTGTGGGTCGGGATAAGGACAGGGAGAGATCAGTCACCAGATACTGACACAGTTTATTACCAATCAAATCAGAGTAGGACAATGAGAAATAAAAACTGAATCTTAAAACACCTTCTCCTCACCCCTCCCTTCTTCCTGGGCTTTCCTTTACTCCCAACTTTCTCCGCCTCCTCCCCCGAGCAGTGCAGGGGGATGTGGAATGGGGGCTGTGGTCAGTTCATCCCATCTTGTCTCTGCTGCTGCTTCCTCCTCAGTGGGAGGACTCCTCACACTCTTCCCCTGCTCCAGAGTGGGGTCCCTCCCACAGGAGACAGTCAATCCTTCAGGAACAGGCTGCTGCAGAGTGGGTCCCTTCCATGGGGTCAGTCCTTAGGAACAGGCTGCTCCAGAGTGGGTCCTTTCCATGGCCTTTACTGGACATGGGGGAGTTTCTGGCAGCTTCTCACAGAAGCCACCCCTGTAGCTCTGTCACCACCAAAGCCTTGCTGCACCAACCAAATACAACTTAGAAATCTGAGAGTAAGAGCATGAGATTGCCTTTCTTCTTTTGTCCTTCTTCCCCCCCCCAAATAACCATGACCTGAACTTTCCTCCAGCAGTTTTCAGTCTTACTTTCCGTCTAATGGCTGTAGAGAGTAAAAGGCAATGACCGAAGAACAATAATTCTGTACCTGAAGACATCTGATTTAGATAAGGGCCCAATATTTAACCAGCTACAATTAAAAAATAAATAAAATAATATTTCAAACCCTTGGGGAAAGTTGTGGTTTGGAGACCACTCAGGCTGAAATGTGATAATGAGTGATGGAGCCTCCAAGGCCTCATTTCATCACTTGGCAGTGAGTGTTTTCAACTCAGCAAAGACAAGTGCAGTTGTGCAGAGAAGTGGAAATTCTGCCCTAGTCAGAGCCCTTTCTTAGGCACTTCTTGGAGCTGATCTTTGGTTTCAGTGCCAGGTGCTGTCAGGGTGCCCTGGGTGAAAAGGGCAGCGTGTGGCAGGACAGGCCCTCCCGTGCCTTCCTGGGAGTACAGAGGGCTTGATCCTGTACTGTCCTTTCCCACTCCCACCATCACATATCACAGCAGTGCTGGAAGGTTTGTCTTCCTTGCAGTTAAGAGGAAAACCAAAAATACACCCATGGGCACTTCTGTGAGAGCTCCAGCCTTGCCAGGGTAGGGGTGTAAGGAAGGAAGGGTGGACTTTTGGGGGTCTCCTGCAGAGATGGTGATTAGTTCTTGAGGGCACAAACACAGAAAGATGGAGAAATATTTCAGATACAGAGTAAATAAACAGGAGACTTCTGTCCCCTTTAGGCATTTTGGTAAAATGCTCAGATGGTAAATCTCTTCGTTGTCTTTCTACGTTCTGGCAACTTTGGGAAAAAACCCTCAGTAATATTGATTCAGAGTTGTACAGGATCTCCTCAAAAAAAGCAAATTTTTACCAGTGATCTGAGGTCAAAAGAAAAATAGAAAGGTAAAGTAAATTACTGACCAGGCACATTTCATGTGCTGCATTTCTGCCTCTCTAGTGTGTTCAGTGGGTTCTGGATAGTTGAGCCTTGCTCCTGGAGCTGAGCAAGTTCAGAGTCTCAGAACTCTGTCAGTTAATTTTTGCCACGTCTCTGTGTAAACCCCCGTTGGCTTCTGCAAAAGGCCATGCTCCTCAAATAGCTCTTTTTCAGAGGTCAGATAATTCTCTTCAGGTAAGGTAAAAGCCAAAGTGATCTGGTTTCCTGGGATCAAGTAGTTCAATGTAGACCTTTATCCTCAATCTCCTAGAGAAAACAACTGAAGCTTGTTAGGGTGGTTTTTAAATGTAGATTCTCTCTCAGCCCTGACACCAGTAAAACCTCTTTTAGGCCTTGATTCAACAAAACACTTAGCTGTGTTTAAATATGTTATATTACTCATATGTGAGCATGTTTTGCTGAATCTTAAATAACAGATATTAATTCAGGCAATAACATACTGTCCCTTCTGTTGAGTGTAAAATCTTAGCTTTGGCAGGAGTTCAGTTGCAAATTTTTTTTATGGAAGACAAGAGCTGAAAAATGTCTGCCTGAAAAGCTCATCATGTAATTCCTCTTGATAGTGTTTCAGAGCATGACAGGATTTCATGAAGAATAATTGCTATAATGCCAGATTGCTTGTGTGATCTAAGTGCAGGTGAACAGTTGCAGGAATTAATGGGCTCTGTTTGATGCTCATTAAAGAAGATAACTTATCTGGTGCCTCCAGTTTGCAGCTCATAACGTCGTCCACAGCATCTTTTCAGGCTGAAAATTTTAATCCCGTGGCAACGATTGTAGAAACTGCAGTAAGATAAATCTTTGGTATGAGGGATATCAGTTTGTTATTTGTTACTCACAGGGTGCAGGAGATGGTCAGGGAATGAGCTTTGTAGAGCTGAGGGTTTGAAGTCTCTGCTCTCAAAGCTGAGATGTATTTCACCACCAAAATCAGGGACGTGTCCCGCTCTCCTACACGAAGGCAAATGTTTGAACGGGCCATTCGTCTTTGATTTGCACTTTTGCTGCTGGTTTTGAGGCACAGGAAGTCAGAGCACGATCAATCAGAGGCTGAAGGCAGACTGTGTATCCCCAGGGTGTGCAGCTCATTCCTTACCTGGTAGCTGCTGACCGAGCAGAGCGCTCAGAGAGGTTCATGCAGCAGGTCAGTTCTAAGGAGCAGCTCGGGAGGTGTCACAGCTCAGCTGGTGACAGGCACTGCTGCTGCCCCAGCCTTTGTCCAGCCCTCACAAACTCACACAGCCTCTGGGAGGAGGATCCCAGCGAGGGACAGCCCAGCTGGGACACCTGTGGCCGTGTTACTGTTACCTGGGTTAAGGGCACTTCTGAATGAGCCCCTGCCCTCCAGCTGATGTGAAAGGGGAATTGGTTCATGGGCACAACCTGCCTTTTCACCTGGAGACAACAGCTCCCTTCTGTCTGAGGTCTCAGTGCTACTGTATGTACATGTCTATTAATAGGAGGTTGCTCATGTCCCAGCTTGTTGGGAGAAGTTCCTTGTGACACTGGAAATGTCACACTGGAAATGGCCTTTTGCATATTTGCTGCCTCAAGTCAAACCTTTGCTTGCTCTTGGTGTTAGTAAGACATAGAACATCTTAAGGGAGCTGTGTCCCTTCAGTGTATATTTATCAGCAGTTGGTGAGTTTTTAAAATACCCAAATTCCCAGTGGAAGATTCATTTTCAATTCATGTTCTGTCCCCACGGTATATTTCTAAGTTTGGCATCCAAATTGCACACTGCCAGTACTGGCTTTGTAGCCTTAAATTGTCTGTGAATGTGATTTTCACATAAAACAAAATTCAGTGTCAAATCTGTGAGCTCTGCACTGTTTGTCCACCAGTGTTAGAGTTGGTAATCACAGCAGTACAAATGTGTGTTTGTGTCAGGGGCTTTCAACCTCGTGGCTCACTTGGCAGTGACTCAGCTGAAGGTTCTGTACCTGTTCATCTTTCTACAGCTGCTTTATGCAACTCTTCTGGGCATCAAGGATACACTGCCAGAGCCCTTCAGGGTGAGGAGCTGATGAGCATTGCTGGGAGTGGTACATTGCCATGCAGTGAAGGTCTGCTGGGTAGCCAGTGTCCTTGCACACTTCTCCCTGCCATTTTCTAGCCACGTACTGTTGGAGCAGACTGAAGTTATGGGATTTTTGCTCTGTGATCCTGCCAGAGCCATTGGCTAATGCCTGGTGCTCAGGGAAGACAGGCTGACAGTGATTCAGTGCTGTGCATGTTGGAACACTCCCCCGTGGCCCCCATGGCGTGAGAGCTGGGTGCCCTGGACTTGCATAACTCCCGTTGTTACTCATCCACATCTCAGCCCCGTGTTCAGGTTGAATCCATGGCCACCTGAATGTTTGGTGCTTTCCAAGCCCTAACTGGAGCTGGCAGCAGGTCCTGGTGCATGTGGGGCAGATCCTTGGAGGGGTGATTCACGGGAAAAGCCAAGGAGTGTGGAGAAGTGGGAGGCTGGTTACGAGCAGGGAGCAGAGGGTTTGGTGTCTGTGCCGCGGAAGCTGCGGTTGGTGTAGACGTGTCAGTGAGATAACTCCCAGTGCTGCAGGAGGGCAGAGCTCTGCCTGACTCATCCTGCTGCTCTGGGATAAGGTACAGCCTGTGCTCAGCCCCACGCTTCCCATTTTAACACCTATCAAGGCAGATAGTTGGAAGCTATTCCAAGTATGTCTGCAACTGCAGTCCCAGACAACCCCAGTGCAGCACTCAGGGAAGGGAGGTGCTGGCTGCAAGAAGAGGCCCTGGATGGCAGAGATGACAGCTGCCTTCAGATGGTCCAGGCTCACCTTGTGCAACACTGAACCATGAATGAGTCTCAGCAAAGGAATGTAATCTTCTGGTGATTAAAAGTCAAACTTGGACACCAGCCCATGTAAGAGCCCCAGTACCTTTGGGTACTGATTGGTAGAAGAGTGTTTTCTTTATCTTGATCCCTGGTTAGTCTGATAATACCCCAGGCTTTAGAAGAACAAAAACAAAGGGATGGGAAAAGGGTCATCAGAAGTGTTTGAGATGGGATCACAGTTTGAGTTGGAAGGAACCCACAATCACTGGGTCCAGCTCTTGAGAGAATGGCCCATACAGGGATCACACCCACAACCTTGGTGTTGTTAGCACCGTGCTCTGACCATCTCCTTTATTTAGAATTTATTTAGTTGGAGTTTATATTTTGGGAGGCACTTTGTAGTTTCTCTGCATTGCTGTCTGTTATCCCAGGTAGCTCTGGCCCAGCAGGGCACTGCTCTGTGTGCTGGGCTTTAGATAGACCAGTGCTGTGGCCCTTCTACAGACTCTACTGCTGGAGGAGGTGTTGTGTCAGGACATGTTTTCAATTCTGTGACTACTTTAAATTAAGTTAGTTCAACTCTAGGAGAGAACCTGTTTTTTTGGGGGTGGCTCATCAGATTGGCCTTACTTCCACGGGGACATCTCAGATACTTGAAGATGCATGTGTTTAGAGCTGTCTTGGTTGTGGGGGATGTGTACAGGATAGAGTGTCACTCTCCACATCTCTGAGGGCTGCTGTGGCTGTGGTAGCTGGAGGCTGATGCCCAGGGAAGGGTGATGGTGGTGGGGAGCTGACCAACAGGGGACTGCGAAACATTTCCACTCCCTGTTCCTGATGATCAGAGGGCATGTGATCAGTAGTTGTCTGGTGGTTTGTCTCTGTCTCCTTGTTTCCTTGAAAGGCTGTAATTGCATTCTGCTATTAATGATTCCAGCATGAAATGTGTGGCGTTTGATGGTTATTTTAATTGGTGGGGGTTGCCTGGCAACTAATGACGGAAACTTTTCTCTGTGTTGATGGACTGACCATGGATGTTTTCCTTCCACAATATTTCTGTATTCATAATGTGAAACCAATCACTGGCGGCACCTGTGATCCTTTCAGGGCTTGGAAAACACATAAAGTATAAAACCCATGCTCTAATTAAGGTTTCTGCCTCTGTTTTTTATTTCTGTAAATAAAAACAGAGAGAACTTGCAGAGTTTTGTGGGCTTGAAATGTCACCTCTTTTCTCATATGACAAGATTTGCTAAAATTTCCTTATCAGTGTTTATTATCTGCAGGTCTCAATTGTCTTATCTGGAACCCACATCTCTTGGGTGTTCAGTCTTTCCTTTAACTCTTTGTTTTTTTCCTTTTCTTGCCTTCCTCTCTACCCATTTAAAATGTTTTTTTGGAACACACCTCAGTTTCTCCAAAAGAATAAACTCCCCTGGGCTTCTGTTGAGTTCATCTCTCAAAGGGGAAGAAATCCAGATAATCCAGAACAGAGCACAGGCAGGTCACTGGCGTTACCAACAGATGTTTCTGTTTCCCATTTCCAGGTTCTGTCATTTTAAAGTGTTACTTAAAAACAAAGGGGGAAAACAGGTGGAAGGGAGAAGTGAAGAAGAGAATGAATGAAAGGAGAAGCACAGGGTTGGCTTCCTGTAATTTTAATGACCTAAGTTTCTGCTATATGTTGTCCCTGTGTATTTTGCAAAGTGCCTAATCTATGCTTTAGTGATGTGATTATGCTTGATCTTTACTCATCTGAAAACTAAACCTGCAAACTCTGAAATAATTTCTTTTTAATATAGATCATCATCATTTCTTCAAGAATAAGTCTATCTCCACACTTGCCAGATAATCAGTGTTGTCCTTCAGCACTCAATAAATCTGTTTTTTCACCCACAACCAACTGATCATTTCTTTCCTGGGGCCTGTCTCAGTAAATTTTGTGACACCCACAAACCTGTCCCTGTACACAAACATGTTCAGGCTCCCATGTGTTTAGCCTGCCCTTTGGCCATGTATCACCTGGATACTCTGCTGTCATTTGAGGGAATCTCCACCTTTCCCTTGTCCTGCCCTTGAGTGACCTCACCCTGGACAGACCCAGGGCGTGCTCTGTGGGCCACCACTGCCTGATGGTTTCCCTGGTGTGTTGGAAGGATTGAACTTCAGTTTTTGATGCATCCTCTGTGAAGATTTCCATCTCCCAGGGGTTTTCTTTTCCTTCTTTCTGCCTGCATTTGCTCTGGCCTGTGCCTGCTCTGATACTGAAGAATTCAGACTTACTGTTATTTCTGTGTGGGCATCTTCTGGTTTTAACCTCCAACAAGCACAATGGATTTCTTTAGTCAAGATCTTGTCTGCACGTCAGTACCTTTTTCTCCAGAAAATAGGGAGCTTGTCCTCTTGCCTTTGGCACTGTTTGAAATCCTACTTTACCCTGGTACTTTCCCATTTTGATTTGTTTTGCATATCTTAGGCTTTTCATGGATCCCTGAGTTCCCAGGGTCTAAGGACTCCAAACTGTTGGCAGCTCATCATCCCCATATCAAGGAGGTGAGATTATACCACTTTGCAGCCATGGCAACTTCAGTCTGTCCCTTCTTACCAGCAAAACTCTTTTCCATACTTCCCAATGGTTTTCTGTTCTTATTCCTGTTACCTGTTTTCCTGCTGTCTCCAGTCTTAGTCTGGTTGTGTCCCTTCCCTGGTGCCAGTGCAGTGCAGTGACAGGACGTCTCCTCTCCTGCCAGGCCACACAGCACCTCTCAGTCCAGCTCTGCAAGTCCTGCCTAACAAGGTCAGGAGCTCTTGGCAAAGGACAGGGTGTGAAGAGGAAATCTGGTTTTGCTGCTTCTGTTGTCTTCTTCCTCCTGTGCTCTCTGACAGGACTCTCTTTGCACCTGGTCCAAGTTCAGGCTGGGTTACAAACTCAGCCTTAACAGTAATTCTTGTTTACTGCTTATTTCGAGGGAAACATGTCTGTATGGCCTGAAAACACACTGAAATTCCACATCAGAAAGCAGCCTGGGATTTACCTTACAAATTCATTTTACAGATCAGGGTTTCCACTACCACTCTTCACCTTAAGGATGCTTTTACCTCTTGTGGGTCTAGAAAAGCTGTTTCTCGTAACAATCCTGCCACGTACAAAACAAAATAAAATATTCTTTTTTTTTTTTTTTTTGCTAAAGTTTGTCTTCACACTTTTAAGATACACAGTGGCAGCAAACTTCAGCATTCTGTCTCTCAGGCTTCCTCCTGGCAGAGGGTATTGGCAAAGGACCAAATTGGCAAAGAGAACAAATTCTTAGAGGACTGATGGGTTGGTGGCCACCAAGGGGTAGATCAGCCCTGTGAGTCAGAGGACGGGGTTTTACTCCACTTGCCACAGGGTTCCTTGTCCCCTTGGGCAAATCACTCAGCCTGTCTG